CTTTCTTCTCCGAGTCTTTGTTTCCTCCTTGTTCTGTTGTTCCAGACTAGCAGCGTCTTTTGAACATGAGGCTTTCCATTCCCATGAAGAGTTACCATCTCGGGACCCACAGGGGAAGTCCCACCCTGTCCTGTAGGGTCCCTATGAGTCAGTCGGCAATGACTCGATGGTAGGGAGTTTGAGAATAGAGATCAAGAGGAAATCTTAGATAGCTGCTCACAAGCTTCTAAGCATCCTGATTCTACTCTCTGTTGGGGTGTAGAGCTCTTACTTGGTAAACTATTTTGTTACTAGTTAACTGAGGTGTCCCACAAGGCAGTGCCCCAAATCTTCATACTGGGGACGCCCATCCGATGAGGTTATGTGTAAGAGGTAACCATAAGTGTCTCCCCTATGTGGTTTATTCTCCAAATGGGTAGAATGCGTGTGTACATGCACATACTTGCCTCTATGTACATACGCCTACAGAGCCATCTGTCTGCACACATACACTCTCACATAGCCACCCCCTTGTGCATGTATACCTACCTGCCTATCTGCATAACTACCCGCCCACGTTTTGGTGGTGGTTGGCTATGTACATCATTTACAAGTTCATTTCACGTGTAGCGCTTGCCGGCATGAATTATATCACCGTCTTGTACAACCACCAACACGATTTATTCCAGCATGTTTCTGTTCCACGGTGGAGGGCAGTAGCTTGGGCAGTTCTCACAGGACACACCCTGGGCTTCACCCCGAGACAGAGACAGCCGGCCCCACCCCCCTGCCCGCCCCCGTAGACACAGACCCTTTGGTGTTACTGACTCATGGAGAGTTCTGAAGCAGAGCTTGTTTCTGCTGCCCTGGCCTAATGGTAGGAATCCTGGAGTCCCTGGGTGGGGCAAATGCTAATAGACAGGGGGACCCCGCTTGGTGTCCTCCTCTAGTATGCACCTTTGGAACAAAGGTCTGGAAATCCACTTCTGAAAACCCAGCCACAGAGCACACTGTGGGGCACAGCTGTGGACGGCACGGGGCTCTTCGACCTCTGGCCTTGGTGGGCCGGTCCCAGGAGCAGCTGGGAGCAGACCTGGAGAGGCCTGTGATGGGTTCATTCCCATTGGGGGCTGAGCCTAGGTGGTATAGTGGTTATGTGCTGTACTGTAAACTGCAAGGTCAGCTGCTCAAAACCGCCAGCCACTCCTCAAGAGAAAGATGAGGCTTTCTACCCCTGTGAGGAGCTACCATCCCGGACACTCACAGGGGCAGCTCTATTCTGCCCCACAGGGTCACTGTGAGTCAGCGTCAACTCAATGGTCATGAATTTGCTTTTTGGTTTGAGGGCTAAGCTCAGGTCAGCCAGCCCACCACCCTCCTTGACCAGGACAAGGGGTCCTGGTCATGGGCGCTGAGTCCGTCTGACCGCAGGTGACCTCATAGAACTGGGTGCCAGGGTTTTCTAGGCTTGTCTTCTTCATGAAGCCGGTTGCCAGCTGGTTCTCCCAGACCTGCAGCACGGGTTCAAACTGCTGACCTTCTGGGCAGCGGCTGGGTGCTTAACCATGTGCCAAGGGCACCCCTCTCCATCCTAGTTCCCAAATGAAGCCCATCCTCCAAGGCGGGGGCTTCTGGAGCCCCACCTGTGCCAGAAGAGGTGCCAGCAGAGAATCGTGGAGAAACTTAGCCCAGGAAGCTGCAGGTCACAATAGAATGTTGTCCAATTTGCTTGCTGTGGCTGTGTCATCCGGTGGAGAGCCATCGCTGGAGCAGGGCCTGTGTCGGTAAAGTCAAGGCCAGTGAGGGTTGGGGGGACCCTCTGTGAGATGGGTTGGCGCTTAGGCTCAGGCATGCTGGTGCCTGCGAGGACGTCGCAGGACTAAGCAGCATTCCGTTCTGTTGTCCACAGGGGCCACCATGAGCCAAGAGTGAACTCAACCATAGCTAGCTACCTGCTGCTTCATAGTCGGGTACCCATTTGACAGGTGGGATGATGGAGGAACAGTGGCAGGTGTCCTTTATGATTTCAGTCTTACAAAAGAATTTTAATTTGGTGAGAATTTGAGCAGCGAAGTGTACATCAGCGCAACCGTTTCTACACAGACAGGCAGTCCAGTGCCACCGACTTCATTCTGCAAACTGCAACCGTGCGCGCCTTCCTCTCCCGGCTATTCCTGTCTCCTCACCAGGAGTGCTGCTATCCATTGGCCCCATCTAGGGAGGTCTTAAAAGAATATAATGCTCAAGGCAGGCCTTTTTGTCACTGGCTAAGCGATTGTTTGGTTTTAAGAAAACCCGAGGGAGGGTTTGTTTTGTCATAAGCTTTACAGATGATCTCAGGACATTTTCCAGGGTTCATCCAACCTTCCTGGCCCCAGGAAGTCTAGAGGCCAATGAGAGTTTGAAGTTCTCTTCCGCGTTTTCTCTCCCTGTTGACCAGGGTTCGGCTCCAGAGTTGTTGATTAAGATGTCCAGCATTGGCTGCTGGGTACCCTCCAGGCCCTTGGCCCAGGGCAAAGGAGACTGCTGTCTCTTTGGGCAGTTAGCCCTGCGTTCTGTAGCCTCTGCTCTGCCTGCCTCTCTTCCTAACTCTGCAGCGCCAGGTGAACAGAGATCCATTGTTATGCCTGGGTGCATGTTCTTCATTTGGCACACCCCATCCCCTGTAAGACTCAGGGGGTCGTTTTTTGAAACTTAGCCTCAAGGTCATTGCCTCTGTGCCTCCTGCACAGAGAGGTGCTCCACGTTCCTCACACCCTCCTCTCCTCGGCTTCCCACACGACTTTGACCTGGTCTCTCCCCTGCTGGACCATTCACAAGGCTGCTGAACACTTTCCAGGGGGTGAAGTCTCCTTATGACTGACTTGTGAACATTGGGCCCTGTCCCCAGCAGGCTGCACACTGGAGCCAGCCAGGGCTTACAGAAGGAAGGGCGGCATGGACTAAAGGTTTGGGAATTAGAAACCTAGTCATCTTCTCCATGTGCCGTAGGTGGGGCAAATCATCAAAACAGGGAGGGTAAAGGGAGAATGGGTAGGAAAGAGGGAACCAATTACATGGAACTGTGTGTGACCTCCTCCCTGGGGGACAGACAAC